GACTTTCTGGCAGGACTGGCCTACAGGGTGTTCCTCCAAATAAAGGTCTGTCCCTAAAGCATTACTTCCTTCCTGGCATCTCTGCTCAGAAGCTATCAGTGGCTCTCCTTTGTTTTTATTGGGGTTAGCAAACTTTTTTCTTTTCCTGTAAAAGGCCAGATAGTAAATATTTTATATATTTATATAACCATTTATATAACCATTTAAGTGACTACTAAAGAATACAAAAATGATTCTTAGCTCATGGGGAGCACAAAGATAGGTGGTAAGCTGGATTTGGACTACAGGTCATAGTTTGCTGATTTCTGATCTGTACTATCAAGTTCTGAACTGCTCAGCCTCAACTCAAGGCCCTGACTCAGCTTTCCAGGTTTGTCCCATGCTATGACTACACTGCACAAGCCCTCTGTTCTAGCTGTGGGCTCTTCATACCTTTGCTTAGACTCTGTCCCTTACTAGAAAAGGCATCCCTTCTCCACCTGCTCAAATTCTACCTACTCTTCAAGACTCAAAGCAAGTCCTGCGTCCTCTGTGAATCCTGATCGTAACAGCCATCATGACCTCTCCCACTCTGATTTCATTCTGTTGGGTTGTCGGAAAAGTCATGATGCACGTTTGCGACAGATGGCATTAGTTCATTTTTGGAAGTACTAGAGTCATTCACATCTATGTTATTGCCATGTCCTTTGAGAGCTGACAGTTCTAGCTTCATTGTAAAAAAAAAATTGAGTGATTTGGTTGAGTTTTGGAGATTTTACAACAAGCTGAAGATGGAAGACCAAACTGTGCATTTTTGCCATATTTTACTGTTTTACTTCCATAAAGTGAAGAACGCGCATCAAGCTTGTGAAAAGTTGCATAAAGTTTGTGGTGACAATGCTCTACAAGAATGTCTGTGCCAACAATGGTTCACAAAATTCCGTGCTGGTGATTTTGATTTCAATGACACTCCTCGGTCAGGGAGGCCCACCGAGGTCATGATGACAAAATAAAGGCATTGATCGAGTCAAACCCACGTTACATGACATGAGAGATTGCAGAAACATTGAACATCCATCATTCAAGTGTTCATGACCACCTGAAGAAGCTGGGATACAAAGCAAGCTCGATATTTGGGTTCCACATGAACTCAAAGAAGTTCATTTGACGGCGTGTATAAACATCTGCAATATGCTCATTAAACGTGAGGAAAACGACCCTTTTTTGAAGTGACTGATAATTGATGATGAGAAGTGGATTGTTTACAACAATGTGGTGCGCAAACGGTCTTGGTCCCAACATGATGATTCGCCTCAAACGACATCGAAAGCAGACATTCATCAGAGGAAGGTTATGCTCTCAGTGTGGTCGGATTTTAAAGGTGTCGTGTTTTTCAAGCTCCTACCAAGGGGCCAAACAATCAATTCGAATGTGTACTGTTGGCAATTGGACAGTTTGAATGAATCCATCATCCAGAAACATCCAGAGCTTGTTAATTGTAAAGGAGTTGTGTTCCATCGCGACAACGCGAGACCACACACAAGTTTGATCACCTGTAACAAATGATTGGAGCTTGGATGGGATGTGTTGCCTCACCCACCATACTTGCCTGACCTTGCGCTGTCAGACTTCCACTTGTTTCACTCTCTTCAAAACTCCTTACATGGTATCACGTTCAATTCAGATGAGGCTGTAAATCAGCACCTTGTTCAGTTTTTCGCAAATAAAGACAGGTCCTTCTATGAACGAGGAATTATGAAGCTCACTGAAAGATGGCAAAAGGTTATCGAACAAAACAGGCAATATATCATTGATTGATCTTTGTTCTTTATATAAATAAATGACCTTTGAAAAACATAGACAAAATACGTCATGATTTTTCTGACAACCCAATAGAACATGTGTGTATCAGGAGAGAGACAGGCATGGTCTGACAACTGTTACACTGAGAACCATACCTAGCATGATGGGAGGGCCCCATGGGTGAACAGCATCCATGATATTTGTTTCTGAGGGGAAGGGGTAGAAAACCACTGATCAGTATCACTCAATCTGCCCTATTTACATAGTGCCTTATGCTGTTGTTTAACTAGATTATATTTTTCCTAATGGCCCTGCCTCTGACACATCCCTCTTCATTTTCCATGGGGTTATGTGCATATTATATATTTACTGTGGGCTCGATTGCTCATATGTGGGGGTTGCTTTTTACTTCATTATTTCTCAAACTCCAGTAATTAGAATATCATTTCATGATTTTTGCCATATCTGTTTCCCAACTTAACATTTTTATGAGAGGTGAGGGTATAGCACGGATTCTATATGGTGCCCTGGGATTGAGTCCCCACTCTGCAAGTTCCTAGCTGTGTGACCCTAGGTGAGTTACCTTAACCTCTCTGTGCCTCAGTTTCTTCCCCACAAATGAAGATAACAATTTTATCTACCTCACAATAGGTTGGGAGGGTAAACTAATTGATATACCTTAAAGCCCTAATGTTATTGTTTGGCACACAGTAAGCATAGCAGAGTCTTAGATATTATTATTGTTATTGTTTTATTGTTGTTTTTCACAACCCCTGGTGAACCAGAGCATATCATTCATTGGCTCATAGCAAGCACAATGTCTGTGTATTGTTATTTCTTTTAATTGAATCACTTTAAAAATAATTTATTTAAAAAGGAAAATTTTAAAGCAAAGGTATCCACAAATTGAGAGTTCTTGATGTGATAGAAGATACATATTTTAAAAAATTTATATGAAAACAAATATATAATGACAATATTAAAATAAAGAATACTCCTCTATTCCACATGTGGGGTACACTGGTTTAACTGACATAAAATAGAAAAAGAAGAAAGTACACTTATCTGTTTGCTATTCAGTGGGGAACAATCCAAAGTGAAAGCTTTGGAATGAGCATACGACTGTTAGAATTATGGGTCTGAGGAGGTGGAGAACAGGGTTATTTCCTCATAGATACCGGAAACTTCAGGGGGACTTGTTTTATAAGCTTAATTGTTTTTTGTCTTTAAAAACCATTTATGACCATTCTGAGATGCTCTCCTAATGAGCTGAAGTTTTCAGAATGGGAGCCTTGATCATGCTGATATGCGAGAGAAGAGTAGCCCTCCTGTTGTAAAATTCCTGGGCCTTCACATGAAGGAAACAGTAGGAAGCCCACCTAGAACATGGATGGTCCACAGCCTAACTGAGTTAGCGGTGTAGAGCGATTTTATAGATTTTATGATGTTCTGCTTATTTTGTTTCCTCTTACCATAAACCAATAAATCATATAGAGCTTCAGTGTATACCTCTTCAAATTTCAGGAACTGATGTGATTGCTTTCATAATATCACAGAAAACACCAATATGGAATGAAGGAATTAGGTGGTATTGACAGTATAAAGCTATAGTGTGAACTGATTCCCCAGTGCTAGTGAAGGGTGTGAATTAGCTATGTGTTACCCGACTACATACATGAAGAATGAATCCCTACCTCGGTGTGTGTTTTAGAAAGATACCAGGTAATGGCGTGGGAAGCATTGCTTTAGACTGTAATCTTCTCCTCTGTATTTGAGCTTTCTTATCCTAATTTGGCTTCTGAATTTAAATCCTCAAATATTTTTTTCACCTTTCTTTCCGTTTTAATGAATGTTTTGTTCCCCTGGAAACCGTCATTCGACAGTGTATTTTAGTAAGCAGAAGCCATGACGCCATAGCTGTTAACAGTACAATTGACCCTTGAACGATGTGGGGGCCCCTGCACAGTGAAAACCCGCTTTTAACTTGACTCCACAGTCGGCCATTCCCATCCCCAGATTCAACCAAGTGCAAATAGAACACAGTATTTTCCATCTGGGTTGGGAAATGTGGTTGGGGATGTGAACATACTTTTTTTGATCCTCAGTTGGTTGAACCTGCAGGTGTGAAGGGCAGACTATATTTATTGAAAAAAAAAATCCACGTACAAGTGGACCTGGGCACTTCAAACCCATGTTGTTCAAGGGTCAACTGTGTATGTCATTCAATTGTCAAGAGTTTTAGGACCTTGATTACTTTGTTTCTAGAACATCCTTATAAATAATAGGAAGCCCTGCATGGGTCCTCAAGTCCTGTGAGGTTAATATTTAGTTGTTTCTTTCTGTTGCCTCCTTAGAAAGATCTGGGTTCACGGTGAGACCGGTGGCTGGATATCTGAGTCCGCGGGACTTTCTGGCAGGACTGGCCTACAGGGTGTTCCACTGTACTCAGTACATCCGGCATGGCTCGGACCCCCTCTACACCCCAGAACCGTGAGTACCCACCCTGGAAGCTGCAGCTGGGTGGAGACCACCACAATGTGAAGTGGTCAGTGCTCACTTTACTTGACCTTGACTTAGGCCCTCTTTTCCTCCTGAGCAATTTCATCTTTGTAGCTAGTGAGATGCTCAGCATTCATCTAGAGACGGAAGGGCTCATTGCAGGATCAGACTGCTCAGCTGGGGGCCTCTGATAGTGTCACTCCAGCTTCTTTCTCTAAATTTATCCCAGCACTGAACCTTTAGCTTTGGTCAGGCTGTTGATGACATTGCTCCTTAAGCCACGTGTAATTTTCATAAAGCCGTGATCCAGACCATGAGGACAATGTTGCATTGAAAGAAGCAGGGTTCACACTGAAATTCTCATAATAAGGATAATTCCTACCTGCCAGACACTGCTCTCATCAACTCATTTAATCCCCACAGCAACCCTATGGTATAGGTACCGTTATTATCTCTGTTTTTACTGATGAGGAGATGCAGGCACAGAGGGGCAAAATAAACGTTGACACACAGCCTGGACACACGTGCCTCTCCCATGAGGAGGCTCCTCCCATGTTGAGGAGGTTACACGCACAATGGCAACTCTTATGCTAATCCCCTCTTCTTCATTCCTTTCCTCACCCCCAAACTCAGAACTCTGTGCTATGCCCTCCCTGCTGCCTCAGTTTCTTCAACACTCCTGCATTGCATTCCTACCTACCACCTCTAGATCTAGATGGGGTTTGTGATTCTTTGGCTCTGTCAGATTTCCTCCAGAGAAACCATCTTTGGGACTTCTTCCCTTTCTCTACTGGACAATGGGTGGCCTAAGAGTACAGAGAGAAGCAACGTGATGATGCTGTATGCTGTCTCATGGGCCAGGGGCAGAGGGCAAGTTGTGACCACCCCCCCCACAAGTGTTCATGATTTGGTCTCATGACTCCTGGCATTATACAGTCTCTCCATGTGAAATATCCTGGCTCTTTTCCTGAACTTACTGAATTTTCCACTGCCTTCAAGGTGGACGCACGTTCCATGTTCTCTGGGAAACCTTGCCATCCTGTGCTAATCTTTCCTTCCTCAGAAAATCTGTCACTTACTGTCCTTATTATCCATCTGTGACATGTATTTAACTGGGCTATCTTTTAACATTTTAATCTTTCCTGAAATCATAAACTACTTGAGAGCAGTGCTCTGAAATATATTTCTTTGTGTGCTTTAAAACAATAAGCACACACTTATTGGGAGACGCCTGTGTTCTTGCATTGTCCAGGAACAAGACACGGTCTCTGCCCCACTGGAAGGATAAGGTGGGGGTGGGGAGGAGACAATAATCAGCATATAAACAGATAGATAACTAATATGGCATCAACCACAAGTGCTATGATGTGTGAAAAGTGCTATGAAGACAAATAAAGCAGGGAGAGGAAACGAAGAGTGATGGGCACTCCTTTTTTGGATCGAGTCATTAGGGCAGCCTTTTGGGAGGTGACATTTGAGCATAGACCAGAATGTGACTATATCTGGGAGGAATGTTCCAGGTGGAGAGAAAAGAGCAAAAGCTCCCAGGAGCTGGGAGCAGTCATTAGGTCTTTGCCCCCTTGGACTCCATTCAAATGAATGCCTAGCCCTAATATAATTTGTCACCCACTTGTAACATTGTGATTTATAATGAGAAATATATATTTGATCTTTGTCCCCGTTTCTAGAACAGCTTCTAAAACCTTTAAAATTTACTTGGTGACAGCGGTAGAGTTGTCTCTTGTTATATTAATGAGGTGACTTTTGGAAAGCCTCCAGGTCATCTAAGAGTGTAAGCTGGTTGTAAGGGGGAACTCCTGTAATTGGAGGGTTGGAACTTTCAGTCTTATCCTACTGGCCTCTGGAGAAGGAAGAGGGGTTGGAAGGAAGTTCAATCAATTGCCAATGGCCAATGATTTAATCAATTGGGCCTATGTAATGAAGCCTCCATAAAAACCCAAAAGGATGGGGTTCAGAGAGCTTCTGGGAAGCTATCCATCCCATCCTACATACCTTGCCCTATGCATCTCTTCCAACTGGATGTTAATCTGTGTCCTTTTTCATATTCTTTTATAATAAACCAGTAATCCAGTAAGTAAAATTCTTCTCTGAGTTCTGTGAGCTGCTCTAGCAAATTGATCAAACCTGAGGAGAGAGTCCTGGAAACTTCTGGCTTATAGCCAGTCAATCAGAAGCACAGGTAACCACCTGGACTTAGACAGGTGTCTGAAACCCAAGGCAGGGTTTGTTGGAACCTTCAGTCTATAGCAGGTCTGTCAGAAGCATAGATGATAACCTGGACTTGTGACTGGGGTTTGAAGTAGGTGGGGGTGGGCAGTCTTGTAGGACTGAGCTCTTAACCTGTGGAATCTGATGCTACCTCTGGGTAGATAGTATCAGAATTGAGTTAACTTGTAGGACCCCCAGGTGGTATTACAGAGAATTGCTCCTTGTTGGTGGGAAAACTACCCCCCACCCACACATTGGAAGTGTGTCCAGGAACCCAAAAGTTCTTCAGGCCACTAAGGTTATCACTTTGCTTATGATGCTGTTTTACTTGAATAACCTTGTGATTAGTGGGCTGCTACTGTCTTCACTGGGAAGCAGAGAGCGCTTAGAGATTCAGGTAGTTAAGTAGCTGATGGCAGTGCAAGTGGGCAGAGATAGGGGCCAGCCTGGAAGCCCTCTCCTCCCCCTCGGTGGGCATGAGGCTCACTGACCAGGTGGATCCCTGCAGAGTCACCACATTTTTTTTTTTTAGCTCCTTTCAGCTTCCCTGAAAGTGTTTTTAGGGTAAACAAAGGTTACTTATAGGGCTCAAGACATTTGGAAAAGAAATGCTTCTTAGAGTGGAGTGAAGGCTCAAAGGAATGTTGTCAGAGTTAGAAAGGAAAGGCAATCTCTAAATCTAGCCCAGAGGGTTTACAAATGGCCCTGTTTACAAATAGCAAGCGCTTTGTTAGTTCCCTTTGAATAACTGGCCCTCCTGAGACTTGTGAGCATGCCAATAGGTATGCAGAGAGAGAGGGCAAAGAAATGAGATTTTAGCCACAGTAGTCTATAAAATTTTGGGATAATGTGTTACATTTTTACCAAAGTACTTTCAGCCAATTCATTCAGCAAACATTTATGTGCAATGCTAGCAGGGAGGTGCAGTGGATTCAAAGATGAATAAAATATAGCAGCTGTTGTTTTTTTTTTTTTTAAAGCCGCTCACATTCTGGCAGGGGAGATAGAAACATAAATAATTATGAAAGAGTGTGGTTAGGGCTACAATGGGGCTGCGTACAAAGTCTCAGAGGAGCACAGAGGAGGGAGCAACCCGCCCGGAAAGGCTTTTCACAGAAGGTTTAAACTGAGTGGGGGTCTTGAAGTGGGTGGGGTTAGGAATTTTTTTTTTTTTTGACAAGGCAGGGTGTGGAGGGAAGGGAAAACTGTCAAGTCAAGGAAACATCAAGTGCAAAGTTGCGGAGGCACACAAGTGGCGTAAATGAGTGTGGCTTGTTACACCAGAGTGGCCAGAGCACAGGTTGCATATTAGGGATGAACTGTTTCTTCAGGTCCTCAGTGTAAATGGCCATTTGCCAAGCTAGGACCCTTGGGCTTAATTCTGTAGTCAGTAGGGAGCTATCCAAGGTTCTTAAGCATGATCAGATCATCTTGTTTGAGAAAGATGATGGGGGTGTGAGCTGGGAAAATGGGGAGGAGAATGAGCTAGCTGGAAAACCAGACATGAAACTCACATTCCAGTGGAGGAATATCGTTCATGAGGCATTGAATTAGAAAATTCAGTGGGATAGGACTAGAGGGAGCCTTTGGGAAAAACATCAAGAAGGTGGAATTAACAATATTTGGTGACTATAATGGGGATGAAGAGAGGCATGGGTCCCTAAGGTAACGCTAAGGTTTTTCGATTGCGATGTTGAATGTGTGGTTATTTTTAATAATGATTGAAAATATTGGTAGAGTATCTGGCTTGGAGGGAAGAAGGAGAGAACAGGACGATCTGGGTTGGGGGCACGTTGTCTTTGAGGCGCCAATGGGCGAGTCCTTCAGATGGAGAAGCCCCTGGTAGTTGGAAATAAGGATCGAAACTCAGAAGTGAATTTAAAGCTCCCGCTATAGACTTGAGTGTTTTCTTCCTCCTTGACTCTTATGATGACTCAGACAAGAGGAGGCTCATTCAGAAGGTGGGAACTTGGGAATCACTAACTTGGAGCTGTTTTTGTAGGCTCTTTTCTTATTGGTGGGTTTTATACCATTCTTTGAAAAAAATTATTATTATTTTACGATAGGTGATACATGTACATGACACAGAATTCAAAGCTATGAAAGGGTGTACTGTGAACCCTGACTTCCTTTCTCTTTTCTGTTGCCTTGACACCCACTTCATTTTCCCCAGAGGCGATCATTGCTACCAGTTTCCACTGAATCCTTCCAGAAACATGCTATGCAGACAAAATTCTCTGTAAATATCCCTTTGATCCTTGTGTGTTGCAAAGTCCTAAGTTCCTTCCCAGCCACATAGTTTGAATCTATGGGGCACTATACTGGGAGTGCTGCTTCCTGTCCAAGCACTTTCACAGGCATTGTCTTTGTAATGAAACCCCATTTCCTCAATTGAAAACCAACAAGAGGGCAGATTCTCCAATTTGTGAAGTTGAACTTGGCTACCGTGTTTGTTGCTTGTACTCTGCTTCCAAATACTTGCCTTCAATTGCTGAACTGTTGCAGTGGAGGCAGTGCTAATGAGACAAACTTGATCCCTGAAGATACAGGTAGAAACGAGAGTGAAAGCAGCAAAAAGGCATAATCTGAAAAAATAGTTACATTTTCCTTTTCATTCTGGAGAGAACGTGTTTTGATATCACAGCTTTCAACACACATTGGGTTTTAAACATGTCTTTGGCTTGCTTTTTGCATTTTATGTTTTAAAGATTCTGGGTCCTCTAAACCTGGCCAGATAATGGGACTTGAATGTAAAAAAATGA